ATTTAACTTATGAGTTATGAATTAAGGGTAGAATTTTCTCAGGAATCCGAATCTGCAAACCGAATTTCAATCCGACTTCTGGTCAAAAATTCCTACTTACCTACCTACCTACTGTACCTACTTGGCTACCTACTTAGCTACCTACTTCTCAGCTACTTACCCGGCTACCTACTCAGCTACTTACTCAGCTGCTTACTCAGCTACCTACTCAGCCACTTACTCAATTACTTAATCATCTACTTACTCAGCTTCCTACTCAGTTACTTACTCAGCTCTTTACTCAAGTAAATCAATCTGGAGTCTTAAATTGAACTTTGTTCAACTTTGTTGTTCAACTTTGTTGAACTTTGTTCAATTTACCAATCTAGTTATTCTTATTCTAAGCAAGTTTTCTCAATAACCGTAAGATCTTCAGTAAAGTCAATCATTTGGTCAATTTAGGTTCAGTATCTAGTTCCTCGGAAATTGGGTCAAATTTCTATCTAGGTCAAAGGTCAAGAACAAGGTCAAATCCAGTACTTTGTCACTTTTTCGATTTTCTCGGTCGTCCTTCAATATTTTCGATCCGGGTTTTTTTCATTGTGTTCCTTATAAAAAAGTAGGAAAGCTTGGGTCGATTTAGTTTTTTGATATCTCAAACCGATTTCGAGATATCAGTGTCCGAAAACGAGGTTCAAAAAAAAGTTCTCCGAATCAAATGTCCAGGATATTATAGGAAATTTTCTCAGGATTCCGAATCTGAAAACCAAATTTGAATCAGACTTCCGGTTCGGAAGTTATGGCGTTTTGAAAGCTCGCTAAACATGTAGCCAAGAGTGTGCTAATAGTGTTAGCCTTTTGCCGTCAGGAAGTATTTTGACCCACTTTTGAGATATGGTGTCCCAAAAGTAGGTCAAAATAAAAAAATCTTCAAATTTAACTTATGAGTTATGAATTAGGGGTAGAATTTTATCAGGAATCCGAATCTGCAAACCAAATTTCGATTCGACATCTTGTCCAGAAGTTATGACGTTTTGAAAGCTCAAAAATCGCTAAATTTGGTGCCCCATGTTAAATCAATGGGACCGAATAATTTTTGAAGTGTAAAAAAACAAGATATAGAATGAGTACAGCTAAACATAATGAAAGCCCATAGAAGAAGGGGACCTCAAAAGCTACTTTCCTTCAAAATTTGGACACCAAAATACCTAGCTCAAAATCTAGGTCAAATTCATAGTTTTTTCTTATTTTTGCAATTCGGACACTACACTTCAATGATATACTTCGAAATTTTGTATACATGTAGCAGGAGTGTGCTAATAATGTTAACTTTTTGCCGTTAAGAAGTTTTTTGACCCACTTTTGAGATATGGTGATCGAAATGTAGGTCAAAATAAAAAGTTCTCCTTTAACGTATGAGTTATGAATTAGGGGTAGAATTTTCTCAGGAATCCGGATCTGAAATTAAAATGTGCAATCCGACCCCCGGTTAAGATTCTACGCCATTTTGAAGTTTGAAATTCGCACTTGCCAGTATTCACGATGCAGATTGATCAAATATACTTTCAAAAATTCCTACATACCCTACTTTACCTCCCTACCTACTCAGCTACTTATTTGACCACTTACTCAATTACTTAATTAGTTATTACTTACTTAGCTACTTACTCAGCTACTTACTCAGGTACTTACCCAGCTACCTACTCAGCTACCTACTCAGCTTTTTACCCAGTTACTTACTCAGCGACTTACTCATGCTACTTCTAAGGTACTTACTCAGCTAATTACTCAGTTACTTACTCAGCTCTTTACTGATCTATCTAGGTCAAATAAATCTGGAGTCTTAAATTGAACTTGTTCAATTTCACCAATCTAGTTATTTTTAGAATCATCTACAAGTTCTCAGAAATTGAACTAATAATATTGTGAGCAACTAGAAATGTAAAGGTTACATACATCGCTATTCCCACAAAGTTATAGCATGATCACACATGAAACTGAGAGTAAAATATATTGTTTCTTGGTTTGGCAAGGACTCATTCTTCGCTGTAATTTAAATATAAACATAAAAATATGAATAAAACTAACTTTTGATTGTACGTGTATATTTCACATAATTTTAAAATCATTTGTATCCTCCAACACATGCTTAATTAAGTTTTACAAAGACAATTCAAATATTTCAAAAATTTAACAATAATGATCTAAACACTTTTATCAAGTACTTTCATTTCTCAAAATAATAATCTAAAAATATTTTTTCCTAAAGATGATATTTTAATGTTTGGAGGATACAAAATATTGGACAGCCTCATCTAGACAACTTGAATTCACGAGAAATACCAACACTCAATCATATATCTCCATTGTCTGCAATCGAAGATATGTCATCAAAATGTACCTTGTGGCATAGCTTGCACCAAAATAATGCATCGATAGTGTATATTAATATGGCCGATGTGTTGGAGGATAAAAATATTTGACAAATCGTATACATATAGTAAAGCATACTTAATTATGTGACTAAGACATATCAAACATCCCGCTTTCAGGAGTTGATAGTACATACATTTTATTAACATGCTTAAAAATATCAACGCAATCGATACATTTTATGTTAAGAAATCCGAGTTTATATTTGCCGAAAAAATAATATATTTCTTAATTGTCTAAAAATCCATTATTGAAGTGATATTTTTTAAAAAGATAAGCAATATTCCAAACAGGTACCTTATGGTAATGATTGCTTAAAGTCTCGTCAACAAAAAATAACACATTGCATGTCCATGAAATCAACATATATGTTGCAGTCTCTTAGTACAACAACAGATTTTTAAAATATCAATAATCGTAAATTGTCCCTCATAGGACTTTGACAATTTGTGAGTTATATTATAAAAAACTTACATACGACGCAGCAGTGGTGTTTCCTATTAGGGCATCCTTCTCGTCCTATAAACGTTTCATAATTCCTATGGCATTCTTTCCGGCACTTTCCACTTATACGGTCTCCTTCACAAGCTAAAAAATCAAATAATGTTAATTCATTTCTGTTGAATAAATCATGTGGAGCATGAATTTCTTATATTATTGAGCCCTGTCCTCGTTTGGATCATATTCATCTCACCTTCGTGAGGATGTGTATGAGACGTAGGGTTAAATTGATAATGGTTTGATAGTTTTGGTTCGTTATTTGTGCCAACGAACGAAGTTCAGTATAAAATAAGGGTTATGCTGAAGCTGTCCGGATGATAACTCAAATGCTAGTAGACGACTTTTCTTCATATTTAGTGAAAAGATGGATATCAGTGAACAGTTTTACAAAACTTGTTCTTCCAAGATCGCCGCCGCTTAGAAAAATGGCGGGAGCTTTTCTCGAAAATCTGATTTTTTTATTTTCAACCACAGAAATAAATATCAGATTAAATTAACAAACAGCACAATCGAAATACAAGTCGGAACTTACGCCTAGATTTTGGCCAAAAGAGCCATCCCCATCCATGGTTGACCACCAACGCAACGATGCAAACTAACAAAGTTAGAGAATTCATCTTTTTCAATGTTTCTTGTCCAGTGACCTTATCCGTGATTTATAACTGCTCATAGGATCACAGCTTGGTTCATACTGCGATTAACCATGTAATTATCAGATGCAATGATCAGATATTTTCCATTTGATTTCATATAGTTTATATTCAGTTTGCGAGTGAAATGATTCCAATACAATGGACTGATTAGTTTAAATATAGATGATTCATTTATTACATTATATAGTTTAATGCTTGTACAAAACATGCATTGTTATAGAGGCAATAAAACTATCTATAATGCAACACATCAGAACAATCAACAAAGGTACACATTTTTAAACTGCAAGTTTGTAGCAACGGCGCTTTGATGGGTCTAGTGCTTTAAAGCGCCATCAAAGCGCCGTTGGTGTGAACTTAGATTTAAAAATCTTGGGCGCTCTGTCACGAATTGATTAAAGCGCCGAGAGCGAGACGGTGTCACAGCTTAACAAAGCTCAGGAAAGCTCAAAATGTGACTTGGTAACATAATGCCCAAAGAATAAATGACTGATTAAGGTGAACTTTTGTAATTTTATACTGTTGCTATGTGGTTGCCAGGCAAAAGTGAAATGTAACAAAAGTTTAGACACCCAGCACCCCTTTTTACATTTGGTGGTGATTGAAAAGAAAAAAGGAGTAATAATGGTCGCTATAATGAATTCGGTATGGGACTACGTGGTTGCTAGGCAAAACATTCAGTTTCAATTTGTTTATTTCATAAAAACACATGCATTATAATATACAATGAGTGTATGACACAAGGGTTTGTGAATATTCCCAAAAGATACATATAAGATTTTAGTCAAAACCCCACCCTTTAACTTGACACTGCCTCATTGTGTGGTGTACGAATCCAATCAAATACTTATTTCATAAAATCCGTACTATTTCAAGCTAAATATGTTGTCTAAAATAATTATGGGTCCCAGAAAGGTTTTAACGCAGTACTATGAATCAATAATCTGTTATGTTTGCCATAGAGTGATATTTCTAAAATGCTAATTGAATTTGTTACCATAGCAACGAGTAACAGTACAATGCGCAATATGTTATAGTTATATCCTGTAAATATGAACTGATGTGGTTGATAAAAGAGGGAGAATTTTTCTTTTGACAGCTTTCTCAATCTCTGTCAATAGTCTTAAAGTAAAATTAATATTTTTGGCCTAGTGTTGTTCTTGTGTTGACTTTGGCAAACGGGGTTTAGGGGGTAGAGGCCCAGGTAGAGAGGAGAACTTAGACAAGTGGTTTGGTGAGTTGGAAACCGAGTCAAACATCCTGAAATACTTCACGCAACAAGCAAATTAATAAACGAAATCATTTCATTGTCTTCTATTTATTTCCAATTATTTTTTTTCAAATAAATGTACATTTAAATCATGAATAATTCATCGGGAACTCTCATAGTGTAGTAGTGATAAGGAATTGGCATTACGATAACTGTATATTCTTTTATTGTCCAGAATTTAAAATGCATTTTCTGTTAGCCGCGCAGCTGTCTTTGTTGCTCACACACGTTGTCATTACAGCTTTCAAACTTGCAGTGAACTCTCCTTTCCTGGCTTTCTTGGTGACGAATCCACTGAAATACTGCGGTGATTCACCTTTTACAATGCCAAGCGTCTTCGTATTGTCTAATCTGAGTAAAGAAATAATTTACACATAAAATAAGATCTATGTGTTTTTAATGTACATGTCAACATGATTTACATGATTTTGGACAATTTTTTTTCAAGAAGCAGATTACGATACTGAAATGATGAAATAAGCGAAACGACTGAATCATACTGTCAATGTGACAAGAGAGTAAGTAGTACCAACAAAAAGTTCTAAAAAGCAAGCCCAATGTCCTGTTTAGAACCCCTATTTTTACTTATGAAAATGGAATCTAGAAATACTATCCAACATACACCATAGACCAATGACTTAGCATCGGGATAGCATCATGTATGCCACCATGTAAAGCCAATGGCAGCCTTGCTGAAATCCTCATTTTCTCAGTAGAACTCAAGTTGATCGGATTTCAACAAGAAGATTCATGTTTGATAGTACTGCTAGAATCCATTTTCGAAAGTAAAAAATAGGGGTTCTTAGACAGGACATTAAATTAAGGCCTTTTTGAATTTTTTGGTTAGTACTAAAGTGCAGTTTAATGAAAGCCAATATGGCTATACATAATTATAATATTTTTGCAATGTCATCAACATACGTTATTTCGGCCTTCACGTTCTTGTGTCCCATCTCCGCCCTTCGAATAAATGTACAAGCGTATGTGATGTTCACAATATGTCCTGGTCTGATGTGATCAGGTTTCCTGGGGTCTGGTCCATGGCAGTTCAGACTACAGATAACCACTTCCTCAGCAACTGTATTTATGGCGGAAATATGTTTATTGACAATATTATTATCTCTCTCTAGGATGAAGAAACATCGCAGTACCTCTCCAATAAACGTGTCATATAAAGTCAGTCAGTCAGAAACCGGAGTCAGAAAGAACACATTAGTGCCAGATATTATAGAAAGTTTGTGATATATTCAGCAAAATGTGTTAATTACTATTGTTCTGCTTTCTGATCATATCTCCTATGGTCTTGCCTTAGAAATGATTATATAAAGAATGCCGTGCAATATTACATTTATTTTTTCTTACCCTGGCATTGTCCATTCCTGCAGTACATTTTCCCTAAGCATTCTGGGCTTCTTGCACAGCGATATCCTTTCTCGTGTTTCATCTCACATTTGCCTTTCTGTGTTCCAGCAGTGCCTCCAACAGTACAATACTTCTTTCTGCCATTCTCGTACTGCAGGCAATCATTGTCAACTCTGCACGTCTCCTCACATACCTTGACATCTTTAAACAACAGTTATATTGTTAGATATTTTAACAAGCCTATTTAAGAAATAACATAGCAAGAATATAAATATATATTTTAACTTATTATTTATATTGTTTTGATTTTAGTGTCGTTCAACTTGTCTTTGATAATGAGGCAGCAACGAATTATGAATTTGGATTGAAAGCAATCTTTTCAAAAATCATATCAAATGTCCCTCACAATCCTATAATGTAATTTGTTAATTTGAATCGGAGTGTAACCGGACGCAACGGGGAGGGGAATGGGACTTTTTAAACAGAACCTAATATATCAAATACAACATGCAACACATATGCAACACGACAAGTGATGTAAAATATAACAATATGTACAAGGTTTATTTATTTAAAATCAACATAGAGAACAGTATGATCAAAATAGTAATATTGCACTGAGAGAAAGAACAATGGTATTTATGATGCTAGTAATCTAATCAATTATTATAGAATTGTCTATGTAAAATGTACTTTAAACCAGAGCTACAGAAATGTCTATTTAAAATGTCTATTAAAATATAATAAAAGCTATGCGAGACGATATAAGGCACATGGTTGTGGGAAATCGTCCTTCAAGTGGGCGTGGAAAGTTCTGCTCGAGATGGCGGGGAACTTGGCTGACTGTGTGTTGAAATCCCACGGTGATAGTTTCTTCGATCAACGAATTCCAGCTTCTACGGCACCCCAACGGACTGCTGTAGATTCACAGCTTACGAATCCTTTATCTTAGGTTGCTCATTGCTGTCTATCGTCGTTGAAGTCTTTATCCCGATGTCACATCAAGTCCATGAACAGGAATCCTTTCACCTAGAAAATGTGCATAGCCCTACCTTGTAGTCGTGCCTCCAGATATCGTCTGACGCCCTACAACGCTGGCGATCTAACATTCGATTCAATCGTGAGTTGATATAAAATCAACCAATCAGATTACAGATAATAGTTTCAAACTCGCGTTCGAATTGCGTTTTCCGTCAAGGTTTGCTTCCTCGTAGTTACAAAACCGGTTTATTTCCGATTAGTCTACCACACGGGATTCATATTTAAAGTGTTGCTCCGTTTTTGTGTTTCAGTGAAATAGACATTAAAATATCATACTGCCGCAACTGCGAAAGCTTTATGCATTAATAATTTCGTTAAGCAGACCGTTACATAGCTCCCCCTCTTATAAAATGACGTCCTCGTCATTAACATTTAATTTATATTCCTCTATTCTATTTTGTTAAATATGTGACTGGTACATTTCATTTTCATATTTTCAAAACTTTCACGTCATTATATCTTACTGACCAGTTCTCTTTGTTGAAATTTCACGCTCGTCTTCAAAATAAAACTCAAATCCACTTCATAGAAACTTCACATGGTCGGCAATTAAGGCCTCGACTTTAAAATGTAACTTAGTAGATAACTCTCTGTTAGGTCTTTATACGTGGATCAAACATCTCCAAAAAATATCAATCGATTATATCTATCTACAATGCAGATGCCAATCATTTTTTTTTAAACAAAAATTCTCAGATATAATGCTTTCACCCCCTCCTTTTTTTAGTTAACGTCCTCGTTAAGACAACATTTATTTCTGGGCGATGGCTATCTAGCCATAACAATCACATATCTTCTTCAAATCATATAATTCTCGTGCTATTTGCATTTTCCTCCATTGATAATACTGTATTCCTTTACAAGTTTTCCTATTTACAGCTCAAAATACATTCTTACTAACACGTCATTTCATTTCTTGGATTGGAGTTTTAATATTCTTCTCCAATAAAATACGTGCGTGATCAAACAAAACAATAGACCAAACTATGCATATCATCTTATATTAGACATTGTCCTTTTCTGGTTCCAAAAAATTAATAGTTTCCACAAATATCACTCTCGCCATATATCCGAAGCTAGTACTCTTATTCCAAATGATCATTCTCAACTATTTCAACTCTATGACAGTTGTATCACCTGGATCACCATAACCTTAATCAGCGAAACTTGATCTAGCAACTACCAAACATCGAGATCCAACTGACTCTCCTTACTTTCAGACACAATTCCTAATATCGTATTACACCTCCCCATGACACAATCTTACGTGCCCATCCACTTAGTATATACAATACAAGAACTCATCGATCAAAATTAATTGATGATAAATAAATCGATCACAGTACCGGTAACTGATCACAAATTCATGTCCACACTATCATCAGTTGAAGAAATCGTCAAAGAAAATTGACAACATATTTCTCGCATGATTTACATTCATACATCACATTTAGTCTTTATCAATCGCTTTATGGGTTATAAGTCCATACGCAGTCACACTAATCAAGGCAAAATACATAATGTCGTCTTCTTAAACGAATCCACCAAATCCGAAGATTCAGCTTCTTAAAATAACCATTCCTTCAAATGTCCTTTAATGCAACTACCAGACAAAAATCACTTCATAGATTCTGGATCACCAAGTACCTTCTTTCAACATTTCCCAAATAATCATTAACGGCATTGCAAAAGAGACTTCGGCATACATTATTTCAAGCTATGCAATTCACTTTAAGGCAAGTAGTTACTTGCATGAACGCATATAGTACGGCAAGAACTGTATTTGCTGATTCTTAAGCATTACATGACGCGTTTTGGAAAACATCTAAAGTTGGTTTATACAACTGATTAATATTGCTTCTCTTAATTTGACACACCACCTTATATATATACATCTTCTCTTTGTTCTACTTTTCACATATCATTTGAGATTATTTGAGTCATTACACCAATCATTTCTTGACTTTTTTTATCAGCAACTTATACACGTATTTACAATAGTGATTGAAGCACAAACTTTTGAGTCTCAATATATAATCTTCACTTCATATCTCATAGTCCACCTTTAACTGTAAATAAATCCTCTCGTCGAAATAACATATTTATACAATTATCTACAACAATATGTATACCGATCTTCCTTACTCTACTACAACTGTCCTAAATGGTCACTAATATGCTGAGAACAGTGACACTTATTATTTCACATCTGGAATCACATGATTCCTAATGTATTCTTTGGCAGATTCATTCAAATGTGAGAATGGCTCAAATGTGTTATGTCGAGAATCCCATCCTTTCCATTTGCACAAAAATTCATCTCTTCCATTCCTTTTTCTTTTCCCTAGAATTTTCTCAACTTCATAAAACTCTTCTGATTCCCTTTGATCATCTTCATTCCTGTCTACATGTACTTCATCTGCACTCTCAATCTCTTCATCCACCGCATCATCGCTTGGGTCTGCAGGTTCTTTCTCTATATTAGCTGCTTCTATATTTTCTCGATGTTTCACCGGTTTAGTGGTCTGCTGTGGTTCTTTTTCACAATCAACTTGGACTACCTCTTTCTGTTTATACCACGTTGGTTTGTCCTCTCCATTGTATGGCTTCAACCTATCTATATGGACTACTGTTTCCTTACTCCTAGGTGATCTTCTGATTCGAAACGTAATGTCACTTATTCGTTTCGTGATTATGTAGGGACCTTGATAAGGTCTCTGTAATTTTGGAGAGATACCTGGTTTTCTCACTGGACAATGCAACCAAACAGCATCTCCTTCGTGCATCGTAATTTCTCCTGCTCTCATATCATAATTCTTCTTTTGTCTCAGACTGTTCTTTTTCAGATTCTCCCTAGCAAAGGCATGCGCACTTTCCAATCTGTTCTTCATTGTTGCTACATATTCAGTCTCCTCTTTATCATTTTCTCCGGGTGGTGATCCAAACACTATATCTACTGGTAAATTCAATTGCCTTCCTAGCATCATTTCACATGGTGTAAATTGTGATGTCTCGTGAACTGAGGTGCGATAAGCTAACATCAAATATGGCAAGTACTCATCCCAATCACGTTGATGCTTTTCTACGAACATACTCAGCATACTCTCTAGTGTGCGGTTAAACCGTTCAACCATTCCGTCGGAGCATGGTCTTAATGGCGTGGTTCTTGTTTTATTAATTCCAAAAGCTTTGCATACTTCCTGGAACACTTTAGACTCATAGTTCCTCCCTTGGTCACTGTGCATGGCCATGGGACAACCCCATCTACAAATGAATTCCTTGCTCACTATATCAGCTATTGTTTCTGTTTCTTGATTAGGCATTGCGTAGGCTTCTGTCCATTTAGTAAAATAATCGGCTACTATCAGTATATATTTATTGCCTTTTTCTGATGTGGGAAGTGGACCTAGAATATCTGTCGCAATTCTCTCCATTGGAGCTCCTACCTGATAAAGTTTCATCTTTGCCCTTTTCTTCTTTAGATTTGGTTTCCGTGATGCACATTGGTCACATTGATGACACCAATTTCTAACATCACTACGCAAACTATGCCAGTAAAATCGTTCTCTGATCTTTTCCACAGTTTTCATCACCCCTAAATGTCCTCCTGTTGGCATACTGTGCAACTGAAACAATACATCTCTATGCAGTCTCTTGGGAAGTACCATTTGAAATGTAATCTTGTCTCCAATGTCAGACTCAAAACGCCTGTACAAAATTCCGCCTTTTATTTCTAATCTGTCCCATTGAGAATTCAAATGTTTAGTTGCTGGACTCTCTTTGCTAATATAATTCCATTGAGGTCGTTTCTGCCTTTCAAATGCTTTTAAGATCGGACTGATGTCCTTATCATTCAGTTGCATATTTCGAATTTCTTCTGATGTCCATGCTTCCAGTATCTGTTTCTCTTGTGGCCCTGAAGTATTCTCATGTATGGCGTTTATTTGACCATCTTCCATGCCACACTGGGGGCATACCATTCTCGAAAGTCCGTCTGCATTACTATGTGATTTTCCTGCACGGTGTTGGATCTCCATGTCATAGGAACTTAGCATCTCTAGCCATCTTGCTATTTGTCCATCTGGCTCTTTAAATTTGAACAGCCATTTCAGAGCTTTGTGGTCAGTTCTTATGATAAATTTTCTGCCATAAAGATATGG